ATGGATATTCCTCTTTTTGTATCAGAAAGAACCGAATAAGAGATACAGCGTGGACCAAAGTGAAGGGTTATCATCATTGGACTCATTATTCATTACTACAACACCTGTGGTCGATAGCCGAAGCCGAAGGTCCCGGTATAACTCCACGATATCTGATGTATCATCAAGTGCTAGATGGAGGAATAAGAGGATAATACCATGGCATGTTGGCGGAAAGAGGGTAGTAGACAATTCTTAGGAAACTCCAGAGCTCACCTGAGGGAACTATACATGACACCGTTTTCAATCGCTATTTTATGATTATGATCGGAATCTATCTGAATTCAGATTCGCCTCAGCCGCCGTATGAAGATCGCCTTGTCCTGTCTCGTTGTCTGCTCTATAGTGTTCATCATCATTTATGAGCTCTTCGACGTCTTGCCGTGGAAACTCATCAGCATACCTTTAGTCAGTGTAATAGAAGTCGAGAGTAGCGTAGTGGTGATTCTCCTTGTCTTACATCCCGTACACGCAGGTTCACTCCTTTGTTTAGGTTGTATTCACCTGGTTTCATATCTGGCTCGCACTGCAGATGTGCTTCTTTCCCATAGACTATTATGGATATGATATTACAGGTCATCATCAGGGTATTGGATGGCAGGGTATAGTACCCCGTAAGGCGGATAAGATGGCCGCTACTGCATGCGATCTCATGGTAGTATTATATGAACAACTCTGGGTACTCAATTAGACTTCACAACTGCCTTACATGATCAAGAGTACTAAGGTGCTATACTCAGGTCTTAAGTCCAATCACTGAATACATAAGGTTAATTTTAATTTGTAATTTCATATCTGGATAATTCGGCTGATTTGTATCATTCATAAGATGCCTCATAATAATGCACTATAGGTTGCTACTGTCTTCTGTGACAGGTCGACAGGCTTATCTATGTGAGGGAAATTGTCGAGAGAATTGACGCCACTGATCTGTATCGATATCTATCATCAACTGGAATACTAAGAAGTGTTCAACAAGAAGTTAATCGAAGAATCGGGAATAGGTACTACGGACATCATCATCATCATCATCACACAATTCATTACAGATGGTTTGCTGGAGTTTGGTCATCCCTTCCTGGAGCAGTTAAGGAGGAGCTTTTGGAGAAGTCATTAGAATTGTCCGAGGATAGCTTACAGTCTATGGTGGCTGAAGCTAAGAAGTCTTTAATGGATAAGGATCTCTTTGATGTTAGGGTAAGGATGATCTTACACCTGCTACCTTCTTGTGGTGGATCATCTGTTCGTGTACTTGTGGTTGGGGGGAACTGTGACTTTGTGAACGTGGTATATGTGACTAGTGTCTCGCTGTTATAACTTCTTGAATTCACTCCTACTGTTGTGCACGTGAAATGATAAAGTGTCGAAAAATGAACCAGGCTAGTATCAACTATCGGCAGTATCAATGATGATGGTGATGCGACCGGGCATGTGTACCCATTAGCACTATTATCCAAAATGTGTAGTACAAGTGGGTTCCCTGGATAAGGTTGCTATAAGATGTAGGATGATGGATATGCGATATTTCAGGATCTGATTATACGATGTTTCGTGGACGATAGAAGGATGCTGTCGGAGTTCTTCATTAAGATAGGCAAGAAGGAACTCCACTTCCTCGAATTCATGGGTGCTGTGATGGGATTATTCTGTGGACTGGTAGTAACATGTGACGACGACGACGACGACCATCATTCATGTGACCACACCTTCATTAGGCACAACTTGCATTGTACATGTGTATGTCGGCCGAATACCGTGGCCAAGAGCAGGATGACTCAGCATATAGTTGGCTATTGTTCCCTCTTACTGGTCTTGTTATTGGTCTCTTCACCAATTGGGTTGCATTACAGCTCATATTCCGTCCGGTAAGCAGCTAACGGCTCGTGAGTGATCCACCGCTACCATGGTCAGGTAGAGCCACATATGGTAAAGGTCCCCTGTAGAGGACACAGCATTAAGGTCCAAGGTCTCTTCTTAAGACGCCAACCTGAGGTCTCGAGAGTCTATAGCTCTCTTGTGTCTGATAGTAGGGGTATAGGATGCTCGTCCTAAGGTTCGAATCATACCTGTCCTCCTCTTCTCAGGTATCCTCAATTGCAATAGGTTTGTAGCGTATTTGCAGACAACTAAAGGTTGGGATAGGATTCTAGAAGCATTTAAGGAGACTATCAACAACACTATGGATGGGATCATCTCTACCCCAGCAGCTATCGCTATCAAAATAGCTGGCAAAGAGGGCTCGTGAGACCGGCGGGACTACTGGCATGTTGTTGATGATTACAGCAGTCGACTATTCTCATAGGTTTGCCTCTCTCTCAGGTATGAGAGATTCAAGAATGATGTAGCTCATGAACTGAAGGTAGAGTTAAGTCATACACACTATGTGGACATGTATGAGAGGTGACAACTTTATTATGAGCAGCAGCATCTTACAGCAGCTTGATGAATAGGTATATGGATAGTAGGTTGGGAATAAGAGACCTGATGGCTCAGCGTCTCGCAGCGATGCCTGCTAAAGACTTCGAGAGGATGCTGCATCCAGTAGTGGAGAAAGGAGTGGTATGAGTGAAAATTGGTCTTATCAGGTGTTTCAAGAAGATGAAGGGACTCTTGTCATTCTAGGTGGTGTCCTAGGCGCTGCTGTTGGTTGTCTACAAGTGTGGATATTCGGACTATAACTCTTCGTTCTTATCATTGCCCCCACCTCCTCTACCATTGCTTTTACCGCACTCTACATACTATTCGTGTTTGTCCCCGTTTTTTCTTATAATTTGGTTTTGGGTTTTGGACATAGTAAGAGGCTCATTGTCGGCTCATCATTCCGCAAGCGTGAACGTACCCTAGGATTCCTGGATATCCACCCTCTGAAATCAATCAGGCCTCGTATTCCCTTGAAAGGGATGACACTTGACGGGTCGAACCCAATCCTGTCGAAGTACCTCAAACCGCTCTATCTATTCCATGACACACCCAGCGAGAACATCCTTGCGATCTGCTGATTCAATGCTGTATCTTGTATTATTGTACTTAGGGTAGCCGAGAATAGTGATAAAATACGGTAGAGAAGTGAGGAGCATGAGAAGGCATAGAAGGGTTCAAGCCCTTCTATGCTCAATCGAACCCACGGTCTGTACCACTAAGGAGCATCTGCCCTCAGGTGACTTGCCAGGGGTCTCCCATTGGTCTTACTTACACTCCCGTGATGGAGGGGGACTAGCGGCCCGACGTCAGTGTTCCGGCTGTGGTAATATGATCATTCCAATCCAAACAAGTTCTTTCGTACCATCGCCTCCGGGATCGACCAGCATCAAAAGAACCGCCGAGGGGATGCGTGTCATCGTGGCCATCAGCATAAGCTGGACCGAGATGAATCATATATTAGGTACCCCACTCGATGACTAATAACGCAAGTCTGATGTTGGTTGAATAAAGTAAGGCCACCATGACCTTGTGGAGTATTCACGAAAATGAGGCTTAGGAAGACCTAGCACCACCAAAGTCGTTGCCAACTCTAGCCACCATGTTGGCTCGTGCCTAAAGGAGTATTTGTGATTATCATCATAGTGTTGTTGAAGCTGCTGACCTGATTGGTACAATAGGTTATGATATCAGCTATCTGAACATGCCTAGGACGAGTAAGGGCATAGACGATATTATCAGCGATATCATTAGCATTAAGGGGGATAACTCCTTCATACACCGCATCAGCTGCCTCCTTGTTATCCAAGCGGACCTGATGTTTTACTTGATACACTGAGTTAAGTGTAGTAAGGCTTACTATTGAGAACTCCGTCTCAACAAGACCTGGTGATACGCAGGTGACACGAATAGGTGTATCAACAAGATCCATTCGAGCGGCCATTGAATAACCAGTAACTGCGA